TCTGTATTTTTTTTAAGACAATACAAAACAGAATAGATATAGTAGCGTGGGGGCGGATTTCTTACACTGCAAATTTTTAAAATTGAACCCTGAACGTTTCTGGTTTGATTTTTAAAAGCTCTTGGTGGAAGGGAACATATCAAAATTTAGGTTTATTGAGTTTACTGAAACAAAAATGAATCAGAGAATGTGAAAACTGTGCAATGGACAAAGGACTGTTACAGTATAGAGCGAGCAAATTTCAGGCTGAGCTGATCAAGGCTGCAACTGCTGGCTCAGGCGGATTAGCAACAATGACATTGAAGCAGCGTCCACAGAGAGTAGGATGGTTGGAAAATGACCCGACCTGGCCCGAGTAATTCCAGCACCTCTCACACTTGGACCCCTCAGCTCGTGACACACCAATCCACACTTTCTTATCTCCCTCTACATACTCTCCTGTGTGTTGCACACTGCTTACCATCTCCTTCTCCATTGAAGGCAATACTTCAACCTGTAATATGCATCCACATCAGTTTCATGGCTGTAGTCTCATAGAAATGTGCTCAATATGATCCAATCTCAACTTTAATCCAAAAATTGTGGATACTATCAAGGAGTTCAAGATGAACCACCATATTGGAATCTTTTGATCAATATGTGTATTTATTCATACCTATCTCTTAGGCATTTAGGGGGCTTTCGAGGATGTCTTCCAGAAATCTAATCCCTACATGTGTCTACTGCTATAAAAGTACTCTTCCTTTTACATCTAATTATCTAAACATTTAGCATTTCTATTAGGGTCCCAATACCATATCTAGGATAGGTAAAAACGGCCATATATATCAAAATCTGAGGAGAAAGAACCAGAGTGAATAAACCAAAATGTCAAAATTCCACTTTGTGCCCTATTTACACTAAACGTTGTACTTAGCTGTTCGCATAATGAATCTTATGGAGTGACTATAATGATCAATTGAGCCTACTTGTAGTTTGACCTGAACCTTACAAAGAAAAACCCAGGTATATTTTGATGGACATAATGGTTTTAATTTATCTTGATTTATAACCGAAATATGAATTTTGCACATAAGTAGATATAGTGCTTACTTGTGATGTTATGAATATGCGTTGCAGAGTGTCAGCCTCGTTCTTTGCTTCACTCATCTCTAGTAATTTTGTAGCCATTCCTGCATCTGCAGTGTACAGATACACCTTTGCTTCTAAACTGGAACCAATCATTTTATCATTACGTGCGAGCTCCAGCACTTTGTTCACCCTCGGTCCTCAACTGTCAC